TTGGATTTCTAAGATCGAACGATTTTTCTACCGAAATCTCTAAGTTAATCATGCATTCTCAACACATTATTATCTCTGAGTTTTACTAGAGCCATGAGACAAAGGACATTAAGTTCCTTCTCTGGATAATAGCCACAATTATCCCACATGTAAAACACATAAACTTTATCGATCATTTTCTAAAAAGACATGCAATATCGAGAAAAATTTGTTGTTGCTCATAGTTTAATTCATCATAACTTATTCACACACTTTTTCTGGACTTGATCATCAGGTATTTTCTCCCACTTCTTCAATGTATCTTCCCATGCCTCTTTTGTCTTGTCGGATAGAAATGAACCTATAACCTCAAGAGCCAAAGGAAGCCCAGCAGCAGTACATGCAACCATTCTAGAGATATCGTAATAGTCCTTCCAAGGAAACTTGCTTCTAAAGGCATGCATACTGAAAAATTGAAGAGACTGCTTAGAATTCATAAATGGTGGTTCATATGGAGCATCCGCTTGAAGAACATTTAAAACATGTTTATCTCTGGTTGTAACGATGATCCTAGCTACTTCCTCGACCAAAAAAATCACGATTTCCCACAAGCCAATCAAATTGAGACTTTTCTTTCAAATCGTCGAGAACAATGAGAACTTTCTTTTCAAGGAATCGTTGTTTAATAATGTTGATTCCACTATTGATATCAACAATGTCAGGGCATGGTTTAAGAGTACAATCAGCGACAAGCTGTTTTTGCAAACTAACAAGACCATTGTGTTGTTGCTCCGTTTCTCAAATATCTACAAGGAAGCTACGACATTCAAAGCACCGGACGAGCTCGTTGTACATGCACTTGGCAATAGTTGTCTTACCAATACCAAGTGCATGTACAACGAGCCAATGTACATGCACTTGTTTTCTTTGTATATTGCGTTGTACATATACTTGTTTTCTTTGTCTTCAATGTGTTTATTCATTTTCTTCATCCTTAGCTCAAAGATAGGTGGAAATGGAAAAGAGAGAAACTACTAGACTATATAGTTAAAAAAAAATAAAAATTAAAAAAAAATAAAAAATAATAATAATAATAATAATTAGGCTATTCAAAACTTCTAGGTCAACATTCTAAATCAGCATCCAATTGTTTTTGCCCTTCTTTTTGGTCATCTTTCAATATCAAAGTCTAATAATAAAGTTTTAAAAGGCAAGTTGGCCTTGATTGTCAACTCTTTTGCAGGTTATGTTTCTTGTCTTCTCAACTCTCTCATGTCACAACTAAAATATACATGCTCGGTGCTCCTAAATGTTAAAACACATATTCCCATTGAACTTTCAGAACTCGAGGACAAACTCAAACCACGTTATTGTCACCCAACTAACATATAATTTTTTAAAGGTATTGACTTCCATGAAAGATTAATAAACAAGTATTATTGGAGGCCTTGTCTCAGCCTTGAGCTAAGGATGAAGAAAATGAATAAACACATTGAAGACAAAGAAAACAAGTATATGTACAAGTGGTTGTTCTAAGACTTAAACTCGCCAAGGTTTCACCTATCCTTCCATTTTAGCTTTTATAGGAAAGTAGGTCGAATATCCAAACCATAAGCCACATTTTTCTTTCAGGGGTTAACCACACTGTTGAAGCTGATATTCTTAGCCTTGTTGGCTTTGAAAAAGGATCCTTACCCATGAGATATCTTGGTGTTCCCCTTGTGTCCACTATGCTGAGATGCACTGATTGCAGGCTGCTTATTTGGGCTCTTTGGGCTGGGGTTCTAATATGTGCTTTAAGCTTAACTTCTAGTTAGTCTTGGGCTGGATTTATTACTATTGGCCCATTGATATGGGATATATTTTGGCTGTAAATTTTGGTCGAATATGATGTTGGGCTAGTGGTGAAGAGCATATGACATATATATATGTACATATAGTCTTGGGCTGGATTTATTACTATTGGCCCATTGATATGGGATATATTTTGGCTGTAAATTTTGGTCGAATATGATGTTGGGCTAGTGGTGAAGAGCATATGACATATATATATATATATATGTTGTCATCATCATCATTATAAATGGTACTATCTCTTTTTTATTTTATAAAAGGATTTATAATAATTAGATCCCATGCATGTTACTTTTGATGTCTCTACCTGTCTCCTACATTGTATACAAATTAGTTTTCTTATGCATGTATCATATTTCTTTTATATGTCCACAAAATTAAAGTTTACTAATCTTATTTTATCGTGTCATTCTTAATTATTTCTTTCTCACTCTATCATGTTTATATGCGTGTGTGTGTGTGTGTGTGTGTAAAAAGTGAGAATGTTTATTAAGAAAAGAAGGAATATGATAATTTTTAACTCCATTCTCCTGTAATCTTGACCTACATTAGTCCGAGGGAAAAAAAAAACAAGGGATGGAGTTGTCTTCAAACTGCGGAACAAAAGAAGAACTGAAAGCAGTTTGCGTTGAGCCCACTAAAAAGGCCGAGGCCCAATGTGTTACACCAATATACTTGTAACAGTATTGGGGGATAATCAAACCATATAATCGGAGACTGATGTGTGTTATATTTGTGCCCCTTTGTATAATTTTGAAATAGTGAATGACTAGTTAAAAATGATATTTGCAAAAAGAAGAAAATATATATATATATATATATATATATATTTCGAACAGTAAATATGAGTAAATATATATGTTTCACGCTTTTTCTTCGCTACAATACACTAGCAAAATAAAAAATAAAAAAAAAGCTAAACAAAAGCATTACCCGAACATCCCCAAGTAATTGCATCTTAGATTCAGTAAAAACTAGTTCTTAAATTACTGTCTTTGCCCCTTTAATTCGATATTGAATATCAATCTCATCCATTTTCTGAAACATGATTTCTAAATGTGATAGGCATCATGAAATTTTCATTTTTTGAGATACACACAATTATGTGGACCATTATATACCAAATAAATCTGATATCTTTATTGTGATCCATCATATAAAAAATAAATTTTGTGGATATGGAAGAATATCTCTCCCCCTTGATTTCATAAAATGGTGTCCCTCCCTCTGTTCCTCAATGTACTTGTATTAGCCGTTTAATGTTATAATTGAAATTGTAGTACATAAATTAAGTAATCAAACACTTTAAAGTAATAAAAAATATTGTAGTCTAATTGGTAACCATTCAAAGTTGTAAGAAGATTTAAATTCCAAATGTATAAGTGAGTGTATGTAGGCGTGTTTCTTATCAATAAATATAAAAAATAAAAAAACTTTAAAGTAAAAATATGTGAGATGTATCCTTCAAACTATAAGAACAATCTCAAAAGATGAAATAACTAAGAAAATATTTTTGTGATGTATATTTGTCATGAAAATATTTCCATAATAAGTATCATTTTTCATTTTTTGTTTTATTTTTATTTTTATTTTTTAAATCCCACGTATTATCCTTTTTTACTCCTTATTTACCTAAAAGGCACTTCCAGTATTCTCTCCCAGTCCCAAGAAGAGAAAATTTGCTTCACTAAATCCTCCTTCCACACTCTGATGTCCTCATCATTAAGCTTGGCTAAAATCTGGATTGAAGGACTTTGTGAAGAAGCTCTTTGTCTTACTTGGAAACGTGTCTTGTTTAATAATCCAATTGTCTAACCAACAATTAATCCTTCTCTCATTATTGCCAATTCTCCACCTAAAGCCCTTCTTTAACCTCTCCCTAACAGGTAACAAATTTTCCATGCCTATGAAGCCTAAATCCTACCTATGCTTCCTTTCAATTGTTTCTATATTCTTTCATGTTCTGCTGCATCAAAATAAGAATGTGATTCTTTCCATCCTTTACGTCACATCTGTGCCGGAGTTTCCCCCTTAGAGTTCTGACTGTTTCCTCTGTTCCATTTTTGGAGTCCATTGATACACCTTTGTAGTCTTTCAGTTGATATACAAGTGAACATTGCAATGATTTGTACCTGCTGTCCCCAACTGGGTCTGTAATGATTTTAAAGACCAAACTGGCCTAGTTCTGCCTCCTAATTTCAAAGAAGCCTTGAATAAGTCATTGAAGTTTCGTTTCCTATAAGAAGGCATTTCTTGTCCCAGCAACAGATTTTGAATCTTGGGTAATCCCATTATTGATTCCTCTCAGCATCATTACAAAAAGTATAAATTCCGGCAAAAATCCAGCCGGTGTACTTTCACTCTCATTGAGTTTTACTGTAATCTGTCTTTCATTTCAAACAATTACATCAACATTTTGTTCCACAATCCGAAAAAGTTAATTCCTCGCATGTCATTATGCCCAACTGTTTTGCCTCCATATACCCGGGGAATATTCATTCAAATTTACTCCATTATTCTCTACCAAATCTTTGGATAACCCACACTGAGGAACTAAACATCTCCAACTAAGAATATTCACTGTAGCAAGTCTCCAACTAAGAATATTCACTGTAGCAAGTCTCCAACTAAGAATAAAGATGACCCTTGCCAAGTTACCATAACTAAGTTATTATGGTAATGGGCTCTTTTAATACATTTACTTCTCAGATGCTTATTGAAAGAAAATATACTGTTGCATTGGACTCGTTTAAGACGGTATGCAAACTCGTGATGGAAAATGACAGATTGACCCTTTTAGCATGAAGATTGAGAAAGTATTGGTAGAAAGAGTGAATAAGTGACTTGACAACCAATTGAAAGCAAGAATTAATCGGTTTGTGATGTTTAACAGTTACATTGGGGTCTTTACACAACATCACATTGCTAGACAATAAGATAAAGAACAAAGGAGTGAACATGATGCAAAAATAAGAACTTGTACTGTTTTAATTATTAGAAGGAAAAAAATTGATAAAACCTCTCTTTTCCCATTTACAATTCAAAGTTTTTTTTTGTACAATCTACTACAAAAACTATTCCCATAAAAATGCTTTTGACAAGTGATTCTTAACTCATGTTTCTTGTTTCCGTAATGACAAGCCAAAAGGAGGAAGAAACACAGGGAAAAAAAAAAAAAAAAAAAAACTTTTACGCACCCCTGCTTCCCTAATGCAAGCTACCATTGCTTCCATAGTACTCCTGGTGCATCTTCACACCAATATCCACTTGCCTTCTATAGCCTTCAGCTCATGTCTTGTGGTAACCCACAAGTTTCTATAAAACCTACAAAATAAAGATAGAAATAAAATTAAGCATGTTCGAATTTGTACAATTTTGAAATGAAAGAAGACTTGCAGAGACCTAACTTTTTATACTCACAAAGTGACTGTTCACCAATGGCACCTCACTGTTAATCATGGTAGTCATCATCCCTACACCCGAAAGCACTCAATTAAGCTAACAAGTAATCACATGACTTGTTGAATTGTGACAACAATGTAACAGCTACATTTAAGGTTTACCAAACTTTACCAAGCCAGAGGAGAAAATCGCTACCAGGAAAATACCCTCAACTTGCCTTTCTGCCTTAAAGGAGGGAGAGAACATCTTGCAAAAGTATTAACTTGTAAAATTTGAATTAATAAAAAGATGATACACGAGACAAAGGGAGTGAACATGTTGCAAAATTATTGAGTTGCAAAATTTGAATTAATAAAAAGATGAAACATGAGACTACGGGAGTGAACATCCCCCCTCCCTCCCTCCCTCCCTCCCTCCCTCCCTCCCTCTCTCTCTCTCCCCTATTTGGATTCAGAAAATTACTCATGCTAAAAGAAATACAATAAAAAGAAGAGAAGAAAGAAATAAAGAAAGATCTCTTGTGCACGGTAATGTAAGCTACCATTCCTTCAACAATGCGTCTTGTGTGTAGTTTCATTTCTATATCCACTTAACACAGGTAGCCGCAAGTCCAATTTTTTCAATCTCAACTCTGTCCAATACCTATAAAAATAAAGGCAAAAAGTAAATTAATAGGCTGCATATCACGCCTCAAGCTTAATTAATAATTACTTTAATTAAACCAAAAAAGAAAAGAAAAATAATATCTCATTGTCAAACATAACCAATCTTTAAACCTTTGAACAGTCTTAATTTCATAGGTGTCACATAAACATCATTTTAGGTTTCAAACAATCTAAATTTCCTAGTTTCTGATAAGCAGCCAAAGGCATAAAATAGTCCAAATTTTAGTTTGGAAAACTACTTAACTAACTTCAGATTTCGGATGGTAAGATTCAATTTAAGACAACCACTTAGATATGGATTAACATTTGGTTTTTGATTACCACCAAAATAGGCTTGGAATTGTCTCATTCTTGATTTGCGATTGAAACTCAGTTTTATCATTAATTGCTGACATTTCACTTCCGAAATGTAGGTTAAAGTAAAAAACCAGACACCACGAGACCAGATAGCACCAAGAGAATAACACTTGCAAATTGCTCTTGAGTACTGATTATAAGTAATGTTGTTGCACATTTCATGAAATCAAACCATAACCAAAATGAGGTGCATAGCAAGAATATTATTAGCACACTAACAATCAAGAAATAAATCCATACCTGTAGACTGAATCTGCAGCAAAAATCTCACCTTCGCACCGTCGTACATATGCAGATGGCAGAATCGGTATTGTTTCCAATGATGTGCACCTTGACACGTCCAAGACTTCCAAAGATTTCAAAGCCTTAAGGCCCTCAATTTTAAGCAAGTTCTCACAACCACGCAAATTCAAATATTTCAGTGATTCCAATTTGTCAAGCCCTTGGATATCATGAAGTTTTGAACAATTACTAATAGATAATATTTCCAACTTCTTTAAGTTTGACAAATTGGGCATCTTTTCAGTGGTAGCTAGCATCTCGCATGCAAATATGTACAAACTCGTCAACGATTCTAATTTTCCAAGACCATGAACCCATGCTAGCTTATTGCAATTCTTAAGTAACAAACTCGACAAATTTTTCATATTTGACAGATCTGGCAATGTTTCCAATGAATCACAAATTGCTAGAGATAACTCAACTAGACTTGAGGGTAAGCCCAATATACACTGGAGTTCATCACACGACCGTATGTCGAGCACCTTCAGCTGAGAAAGGAGATCGATATCTTTAGGTAAGGACTTTATTTCCGTACGATCAAATGTCAGTTTCTCCAATTTGAATAATTTCCCAATATTTGTGGGCATCACAAGATTATGGCACTCAAACAATTGCAATTCCTGTAAATTAACCAGATTTGTAAGGTTGGGAATATCACTGACATTCAGAATCCTTAAACTTGAGGGAAGCTCTGGCTGTGAATGAAGCTTTGTGCAGCCTCCTATGTTAAGGGTATGGAGTTGAGTGAGCCTCCAAATTTTCGGTGGTAGGCTTTGAATTTTGGAACCATAAAAGCTCAAGAATCTCAAAGAAGATAGTTTTTTTATATTACTAGGAATGTTCACGTCCAAGTAACTACACTCGGTGAAATCCATCACTTCCAAATTCTTCAACTTCCAAATTTCATCAGGTAACTCCCTTATATCAGAATATGAAATGTCGAGCACTTTCAAATTCTTTAGATTGACTATGGACGGGTCAATATATTTTAAACTTTTGCAGCGTCCAAGAATCAATCTCTCCAAAGGTGTATATGATGAAAAGTTAGGAGTTCTCCTTAAAGCACAATCAGCCACTTGTAGAACTTTCAACTTTTTTGCCATCTATTGAAATAAATAAATAAACAAACAACACAAAAAATATTAATTTCAAACGAGTAGGTGATGGGACACAAGAAACAAAAGTAGAGTTATTAAACAAGACCTTGATTTGATTCCAACCCCCCCATTCTTCTGTGATGCCACTCTTTGATAGATCCAGAATGACTAGATTCTTCATATGAAAATTGGTTGGTTTGAAAATTGGGGAACAACCACGCCAATTAAGCCATCTTAAGGACAATAGAACACGCTTAAAATCCCCACCAAGGTTTGCACCATCCACTTGGAGATACCTCAGATTTACTAGTTTAGTGAAATCCTCACTTGTAAAGCAAGGCTTCTCTTCAGACTTTAAGTTAAAGCCAAGACTTAAGGCCTCAACCTTTTCTGTTCCCTGCCAATGAAAAGAATAACTTGAGATTGTTTTCAGATTTAACAACCGATTATGCTTAATCAAATAGGAGAAATAAAATTTAGTGCACTCAGATTTTACCATCCGTCCCTCCAATATATCAAAGGCGTCCGTGTGATTCCACAACCTACTACGGTTTCCCAAAAAAAATCCTTCATTGACGATTTTCTTCCCAAGAGCTATAAGCTGATTGTGCATCCACAACTCATTAGCATCTCCCACTTTCACAAGAGACATTAGATAAAGGCCATTAAATTCTTTCTTTGGATAATAGCCACAATCATCCCACATGTAAAATACATCTGTTTTATCCATCCCAGAGAAAAGACATGCAACATCGAGAAATATTTGTCGTTGCTCCTTATTTAATGCTTCATAATCTACTCTCAACTTTTCCCCAACGTCGTCATTGGGTGTTTCTATGAACTTCTTCAATGCATCTTCCCATATTTCTGGATCCTTCTTAGATATAAACAAAGCTATAGACTCGAGAGCTAGAGGAAGTCCTCCAGCAGTGGATGCAATCTTTCTAGAGATACTAACACATTCTTCTGGAGGAAACTCCATGTTGAAGGCATGCTTGCTGAAAAGTTGAAGAGATTGCGCATCATTCATAATGGGGAGTTCATAAGTCCATTCAACGTTAAGATCATTTAAAACACCTTTGTTTTTGGTTGTAACTATGATCTTACTTCCTTTACCAAAGCAACCACGTTCTCCCACAAGACGATGAAATTGTGAAATGGAATTCACATCATCAAGAACAATGAGAACTTTCTTGTTACGAAAATTCTGTTTACTGCTGGCTATTCTGTCGTCAACATTAGCAATGTCAAGGCTCCAATTTAGTGTGTCAGTGAGAAGCTGTTTTTGCAAACTAACAAGAGTACCCTGGAGTTTTTGTGCCGTTTGAACATCTTCAAGGAAGCTACAACAGTCAAAGTACCCTAAGAGTTTGTTGTAGATGAATTTGGCAACAGTTGTCTTGCCAATACCACTCATGCCATGGATACCAACAATTTGAACATCGTCAGAGGCAATATTAAATAGCCTCGTCATTTCATTTTCATGATGATCCATTCCAACCAAGTTTCTAGTTACTTTCATGAATTTAATCTTCAACTCTGACAACACTGTTGGAACAATCTTCTCTAGTATTAGTTTTCCTTCATGCCTGATTGATGCCAAGGGGCCAAATAAGACCAAATAATTAGTACTAGAAGGAAAATAAAGTAAACAAAGAGAAAAAAAATAAAAAATAAAAAATATATATATGATTATTATTTTATTCTGCTTTTTCTGGGTAGGTTATTCATAAACTCAGGTTAATCACAAATGCCTCTAAGTTGAACTTGAATTCCCAACCTTCCATTTGGAAAGAAGAGGAGATACCACATGAGTTGAAAAGTCCAAGTAAAAATGATGATTTCTGATTTTTTTTACAATCTGTTTGATTTTAAGATAGGGTTATTATTTTAAACTTGTTGAAGAAATTAATACTGATTTGAAATAATTTTCTAGTGACTAGTTAGCTCCCAAAAGCAATCATCTTATATTGCGTTATTTGAGGAAATTTAGTTAAAAATTTTAACTAAATTTTTTGTAATACCAAATTCAAGCCACCAATTTGGTGCTCCCAAACATAGCATTAGAGATTTTGTTGGACCTATCTTTGTCCCACATAGATATTGAATTGCAATCCTAAACATTGCCTGAAGATTCTTGCAATGATATATGGAGTTGTGAATTTCAACAAGATTATTGGGTTATAAAATAGAATAAGGGTTTTTTTTAAGCAAAAGTGAATTACCCATGAGCATCGTTTTTCAATTCCCAACCAGTGAGATGTGCAGCCTCATTCAATGCCTTCTTCCATTGCTCAATAGCCTCGTCACTGAAACCAGATTCCTTGAGCTTCTTGAAGGCCTTCTCGTAAGTACTCCCAGCTGGTTGATGCTTCACTTCCTTGGGTGTGACATGGTAGAAGATGGGTAAAATCAATTGCCCCGAACTTCTATTGCACTCCAACATCAGCTCTAGTTCCCTAAGGCACCATTCACTTTCAGCATAGGTTGCGGAGAAGATTGGAATTGAGATCCTCGAGTCCCTGATTGCTCTGTTGAGTTCAGGGCCAATTTTTGTTCCTTTGCGGAGCTCTTCATCGTCTCGAAAGGCGCGAACTCCTGATTTAATGAGAGAAGTGTAGAGGAAATCCGTGAAACCGAGGCGTGTGTCTGGGCCTCTGAAACTCAAGAAGACTTCGTATGCGCCTCCTGGAAGTGATGCGGATGAAGAGTGCGATGCAGTATCTGCATCTGCCCCGGTGTATCTTACAGGTACAGTTCTCCGCCTACTTGGACCCGCCTCACACTCCATTTGAGATACAGTCGTCCTCTGTCTTTCCACCTCCATTGAGATATTGAGAAGCTAAATCTTCTCTGAGTGCTGAAAAAAAATTAAAAATAAATAAACCTTCTAGGTGTATTGTACTACCAATCCTATCAAATACAGGAAGCTCAAATAGATCTTTCCATCTCCCTTCAGTGTTTGGGCAATGGATCTGCAAATTAAGCCATCCAAACAGCCAACTCATCTATCCTGTCAACATGAACGAAACAATTATCAAAATACTAATAATAATAACAACATTTGCGCTAGTTAATTGGGTGTATTGGGAGTTTGGGCAATGCATCTGCCAAGATTCGTTGGGAGATGGAAAGAGAGAGTAACATGTCAATAAATCTAACCATCAGTTTGCCAAGACAAGTAATGGAGTCAACTGGAAGAACACCGTTTCCCTTCTGGCTAAAGCGGCAGGCTGGCAGCACTTTCCAAAAGCACGCGGTACACGGAATAAGGATAAATTACACTAACTGCCAAAAGTTTGCCCTAATTACACATGAGCTCTTGCATTTTGTTCCACTGACCTCTTCTATGATTTGGCCCGTTATCATAATAAATACTCCTCCCTCCATACAAAATTGTGTCAAAATAATGAATTAAAATGCCCATCAACTAAAAAAAATTATTACCTTTAATGTCTCATCAAATTACAAAGAATAAAATAAATATAATTTGTTTCAGAGGACGAAAATACCCCTCCCCCTCCACTGCCAGCACCACCAACTCCATTGCAAAGAACAAACAACCTAAAATCAAATTGGGATGTGAATCTCTGTAAACCAACAAATTTTTGGTCTGTGGAATGTTAGTAACATGTACATGAAACGCATTTGAAGAATTTTATGTCCATTTCCACAAAGCGACAATAACTCACAACTTTGAATTCAAGAAAGTGCAAAGTGCAAATTCTTTGTGAAGTATCATTTGTATAACAAGTTCTATAAAGATAAAACAAAATGCCATAAAATAATTTGGGATGTACTCCGACAAAATTGATACAACCATTTTAAATGAAAGAGAAAAGCTGTTAAAAAAACAAAAAAAACCGTTAACAGTCAATGCAAAACCCCAATTGTCTTTTAACCCCAGAGATAGAGGGAAAAAATCCAAGAAAATCTTCAAGAATTGGATAGAAGGAACTTGTTGATGATCTGAAAGCATCAAGAATATCACCTTTGTTTAGAAACGGTCGCGGGCATGTGTATAATCGCCGATGTCAGAGTATAAACCGAGAATCGTCGACCCTAGAAAAGCTTTTAAACGATCGAAAGTGGGTTTTCAGGTTCTGATGAAAACTGTTCTACAAGTGAACACAACGGGTTTTTATTACTTTTTAATATGTAATACAGTAGATTTTAAAAAGGGGGAAAATGGTGGTGATTGTGATTGTTGGAATTGGGGTTGGAATCAGGGGACGTGCAGGAGGCGATGGTACCGTGGCGGGCGTGGAGGGGAGAGGGGCAAAGGAAATCAAGAGGTGAGGGGGCAGAACAAAGGCTGGAAGAGTAATTTCAGTTGAATATTAACCTCAAAATGGCCCAAACTGCAAGAAAATACATATGTTTACAAATACATATTTTTGATGGCTAATGTAACTAGAAATTTTTTTAAGAGAGGCCAGTGTTATTTATAAATAATGGGTAAATTAGCCTGAGAGGAGGTTAAGGTTTGGCTAAATTATTTGCTGATCAAACCGTTCGAAAATTTTCAATCTCTCCCTTTCAATAAACAAAATTAGTTAGACCACGTAATCAATGAAAACAAAATTAATTTGAATAAATTACGCACCATCGTCGAAAATCACTTTAATTACACCATTGTCCTTTTAAATTTTTCACAATGAGAGTTCACTATGGCTAAAAATTAATAACAAACTTGAAAAATGTTTCAAAATATTTTTAATTATATATTTATATATAATTAAAGTCTAATTATTTTTATTCAATTTTGGGTAAGTGTAAAAAAATTATATATTGCAAAATAGTCCCTATGTCAACAATTTGCTTGTGGAAGAGAGGATCCAGTATTTTCTAACTCCTTAGGTAAGGAATTTAAAACCCCCCATATATTATTGTTGCGGTGCAAATAGTTCCTTTAAAATTTTGATAATACCCTGTGTTCAGCTCCTAAAAATCGGGGTCCTTTCCAATTAGGAAAGGAGGGTGAACGTCGGGCACCTTCAAGGGTTCTTTTTGCCTTGAAAAATGATTTTTGAACTGAACTATAACTAGTGGAAAGGAAAGCTATATTGAAAGTGCGGGACTTCAAAGTGAAGTGCTGGAAAGTAGGAATAATAAGTGCAAGACTTGAATTAAACATATTGAAATTGCATTACATGAATGTAAAGAAATTGAAGTGTTGTTGGTTCTATGTGTTGAACAGGATTTGCAAACTAGCTCTAAGTGCTCTATTTATAGAGCTTTCCATGCATGCAGCAGCTTGATGTGACAGCTTCAGCAGCTTTCACGTGGCCAAATCTCGGACTGTCATATGTCCCATGATTTTTTAACATTCTCTAAATGTTGCCAAGTGTAAAATCATGTTCTCCCATGACTTGTAATTGATAGATAGTGGACTTGGTGGTTGAATACATGCTTACAAGCCTTCTCCCACGTTCTGGAATTGTCCAGATGGAAAGTCAGCAGTTAGAGCAACAATTGAGAACTTCCACCTGGAAGGTCTGGATCTTGCCACATGTCTCATGTCTTCCTTAGTCATCTCATAGTGTTGACACATGTAAGAACATGTTCTCCCATGATTTATAACTGATAGATAGTGGACTTTGGCGGTTGAATGCATGTTTGTAGACATTATCCCACATTTTGTAACTACCCAGATGGAAAGGCAGTAGTTCCAGCAGTTGAGAAATTCTATCTGGAAGGTCCAAATCATGCCACGTGTCCCATATATATATATATATATATATATATATATATATATATATATTTATTTATCTTTCTTTAGTAAATGCATCATGTTTTTAGCCTACTTGTTGATTTTTAGCAACCTCTTCACCTAAATAAGGCAAGTGGTTGCCTTATTTTTGGGGTGACTCCTACAAACTAGGAGATATTATAGGAGTGGGGGAGTTATCATTCTTGATGACTAGGTCAAAGTTACACATGGCTTTCCAGATGTTTGCCACGTGTCCCCTTGAAAAGTTCACGTCTTTCCAACTACAAATCTTGTACCAAATAGCTTCATTTCCAACTACAAATCTTGTACCAAATGGCTTCATTTGATGAAGCTACATGTTGCTTCATGATTGCGCTTTTGCATATTACCTTTCCAATGGGATTTGCCACGACAAACCTTTTCAACGGAAAAATATTTATGGTGTCAACACCCTGATTACAGTAGAATAAATTAATAAATAAAAGTACAAGTCATATAAAATGATTATTTTGTTCAATTGGTATAGGAGTTTTTTTTGTTTGGGACAAGAATAAAATAAATCTCATTTTGTCTAAGAATGGAATAAGCTGAACCAAACAACCTCGAAACCAAATATAATAAAACCCAAGCCAAACACTCCCAAACTATACAGTACACCCTTAACTTGTGGTGGTAATTAGCCTTGTCTGAACTCTCTCTCTCAAAAAAAAATTGCGGAACGGGATTCATAATTTGGTGGTTTTTGGGTTTATATATATGCATATATAAATCACCCAAAATGTGTATATGTAATATTGAGTATATATGTAATATTAGGTTATGGAGTTGAAGATCAAAGAATCAGAAATTGGGTTTGGTTTTGTTTACAAATGTGAAAAACAAGACCTGGTTTTTCTCCTCTCTCTCTATATATAGACATGCAATATACACACACAAATTAAAAAGCTACAACCCATATCCAAAACAGACGCATTACTTCAATAGACCCATGTAGAATTCCATAAGTAGATGGAAGACTTTAGATCACTCATTGACTCCTCTAATCAATAAAACCCAACAGATCCATGTTTTATTTTTTATTTTTCTTGGCAAACGGTCCCATGTGGATACAAGAGAAATTCACCTACTTTGAATCCATAGGAGATTACAGACCTTAGTCATATGCTGATTGGGGGACGTAGATTATGAACTATAATGGGCACAGACCCACTTCAAAGCCTCATGATAATTGTTGGGATGATTAGAGATTGAGCTTGGCAAACAATTGGATGGTGCAAGAAGGAGAATCGGCCGGCAAATATCGAAGTGGCCGGAAAAAATGGTCCCCTGGAAGAGAGCAACATCTTGAAAAATAAAAACATGGACAGATACAGAGGAGAGAGAACATTTTGCTCATTCATTATTATTGTTTTTATTTTTTTTATTGAAGGTATTATAGACATTTTAATTGCTAAATTGACAAAATGTCCTTCTATTGAAAAATGTAAGGGGGTGGGGGGTGTTATGCACATTATGTGGTAGGGGCAAAATGGAAACAAAAAGAATAAAATGAGATCTTCTTATTTACTTTTTGTCAAAAAGTGGTTAGAGAGGCTTATTTGTACATTTTTTTATTTTTTATTTTTTTTTACATACTGAAATGCACATTTTAAAAAAGGAGGAACTATTAACCTATATTACTGAGAGTTTTCTACACTTAACCCTTAAGTTTTAATATATATATACAAACATGTATGTATGTGTGTATGTATTAACAAATGAGATATTTTTACAAGTATCATACTAAAACTTTTGATAATATTAATGAATTTATTTGATTCACATACTTTAAGGATGAATTTATTTAAGTTCAATGCATCAAAATTATTGAGATATATTTTGGTAAGTGTCAAGTACATTTTGATTAGTGTGACACATGAATAAATTTATCCCTCTTTTAATTCATGTACTTGAGTTTTGAACACATTTATGAAAATTCACTTGAGAGGTCTATATAACACCATATTTTCCTCATTCAAGTGTGGATCAAGTTCAATCCCAATTCATACTCAGATTTTGTTGACTCTAAGTTTAGAAGTTTTCCCTTCTAATTTTCGTACTTGGGTATTCTGAAAAGAGATTAAATGTTGTATCTAAAATCGTATCGTGCAAATACACAATGGTTGGATAGGGTTCATGCTTGGTTCAATCCCGTAAATGGAGCTGCCTTGATCCCTTGCACATTGTGGGAGGCTTCAACTATCCTTAAGAAGCGTTTACGAGCCTCCAAGGTATGATCCAAATTTTCTGAAAATTGTATTTCTGCCATTTAAATAAGTGCAAGTGATTTGTCATAATAATTTTTTCCAACAATTCGAAAATACGGTATTTCTATATGGTTGTGTGGGATTGCTTGGACTTGTCTTAACACAAAAAACTTGAGTTGATGGAGATGCTCTTAACGAAAGAAGATGTATGGTGCATTCCATCGACTCCATCTAAACAATTGATCGTAATGCTCAAACTAGTGGGGTTGAACATGGAAATGGAAACTTCTCTCATGTAAGGTTAATAAAAGACTCTTTGCAACTATATTCACTCACGGTGAACTTATTTTCTACAAAAATTCTATATTTTTCTAAAGAAGTGTCTATCACAAAATTTTCTCATCCTTGGAAATCTATCACCTCATGCTATGAATGAGAATTATTAAGATTGATTATCTAGAAAGAAGAGGCTATCTGGAAAGAAAGGCTAACGAGAATTGTTCATCCGTGTGCTTAGGATGTTGAGTACATCCTTACGACAATTTATCGAATTAAAAGCAGAAATATAGAATCTGCCTTACTCAAGCTCATTACTTTGAGAAGATTCTCAAAATTTAATCAGTTTGAGAAGAAATCAACACCCACTCCATATGATTCTAGCTTAAAGTTAATGCTGAATGATAGCAACAGTGGAGCTCAACTTGAGTATTCTCAAATAATTGACAATCTTATCAATTGTACTAGGCCGAACATAGGCTTTGCAGTTGGGGAGCTAATTGGGATGCTTTGAATTGAGTTTTGAGATATGGAAAGAATCCTTTTATGCTCATATCCAAATTTAACTTAGATTCAGATTAGTAAAAGTCAATTTCTGCTTGGAGTTTTTCTTATGAGGTAGTGTTGTCTCTTAGAAATCTAAGAAGGAGACATGTTTTTCTTCGTTAGAAATAAGAAACCGAATTGAACTCTGTATATATTGATGTAAATTATAAGAAATACAAGAGGGGTTTATATAGGGAGGATTATGAATGATGAACAAGTAATCCTATACAAGGTAACTATATATTATAATCCTATACAAGGTAGTAGAATTATATAATATAGTAAGAATATATTGTAATATATTCTAACAGCCTCCCTCAAACTCAAGGTGGATTGAATGAAACCATTTTAAGTTTGGAAATGAGATCTTGAAAGCGGCATGGTGGAAGTGATTTGGTAAAAACATCAGCGATCTGATCATGTGAAGTGATAGACCGCAATTGGAAGGTCTTCTAAAGAAGATGATAATGAATAAAATGACAGTCAATCTCAATATGTTTAGTGCGCTCA